TGGCTAGGTGGTTAGGGCGCTCGACTCGCAATCTGTGGGTCGCAGGGTTCGAATCCCCGTCCCACCAAACATGCTCGACCTTTCAGCCGTGGGGACGTTATAATGTAACGGTCAATCCCACTATTCGTTGGTAAAAGAGTAGCCCAAGAGTTGACGGTGGGTGATGATGACTAGCTGCCTTCCATCTAGTCTTACACTGCTAAATTAGGGACGGCTAGCGCAGATAGACCTCGAGTAGCTTTGCGTGAAATTCAAAACAAACAAACAATCAATCAACTTAAATCCCTTGTAAGCCTGGTAAACAACCGAAAAGCTGGGAAAGCGCTACCAATTTACACAAATTATAAGTTTCAAACTCAGTCAGCGACTTAGTTATGTAAACAGAAGCAAACTTTACCATAGAAACTAATTTGTATTGTTTTACATCAGGTGTGTTATATACCTTCTATTGTCAAAAGTTACTAGTTTATTAATTTGTAATTTAAGTTAGATTTAATTCAGTTGTTTTGTTTGAGGATAATTTCGTAACTTATCTCATCCTTACCTCATTATATAGTTACGATTTAAATCAGATAAACGCAAACCACAAAAATGGGCTTTCAAATTCTGTTAAATATCATTAAGACTGTAAAGGAGTTAACCCTGATTTAGATGATGTATACAATTAAGATTTATTTCCCGAACTCTCTTTCTCTAAGCACACCTAATGTCCAGTTTCTGTAGTGGAAGTTACAAACATAGATTACTAATCTTACTTAAGTTTCTATTTTTTTTAATTAAACACAAAGCTGCACGATGTGCTATCTGTGCTCTTCCCATCATGGGTATCGAAACCCAATTTCTAGCGTTGTAAGTCCGCTGTGTCACTGGGAGGCCTTACTTAAATATTTAATGAAATTGATATTAATATGGCAATTTAATACAGTTGCTGAGTTGATGAAATAAATATTTTAATGTCATGCACATTCTGTAATTGTTCATGTTATGTAGAATTTAGCTATTCACTGATATAGCAACATAAACTTAGATACGGCTCAGTACACTATGAGATAGGAGTGTTTCATTGTTTAATACATATAAGACGAACGCTTTTTAACATATACATAGTCTTCAAGCGATGTTTTGATGAGTACTTTTTTCCAACTTTAGATCCCTGCATTGTCAGAGGCTAAAAGTTCATCAGAATTTGGTTGTTGCCTTAATTATTCACTCTATCCTGCTCATCCTAATCTCATCTCCAGTTGTTACAGGCGATGAAGTGGCTCCACATATATACATCGTGAGTGACAAAATAAAGTTTATTCAATAATTATTATAGTTGAACAATTAGAATTAGCTAATTTTCAAATGTTGTTCAAGTACTTATGATACGTTACTAATTAAATTAGAAAAGAGTTATATGTACCTTTGAATTGTACTTCAATCATTACGAGTGTCTTCGTGATTAGAAACTAGTTTAAAAGAAAATATTTACTCGGTCATGTGCCAACACTGTTTGAAGATAAAGAAGAAATAAAAGGACTTCCTTTTCGGGTGCCATAACTCATAGAGCCTGTTATAGTTTGACAAGCATTTCGTTCGTTTGAATCGCACATTTACTCAGACTTCACTTGGAGATAAATATCTACAATACGCACGCTTCGCTACTTGTAAATCAGGCCTTTGCACAATATTCTAGTTAAACATTTACAAGATTTTGCAAAGTAATTTTCTTTCAAATATTATACTCGCGGAACTTTCTCTAAGACGATTGTTTCATTTGCCAATTATTTTCGGATTCACAGGAACTTGTATTGGCCTGCTCGTAACGTTTTTGTTGCATATTCACAGGGTTGGTTGTGTAAAACCATTTTGTCCTTAAAGATGTACGCTGCTATGGCCAGCATCAACTGGATGTTTGTAGAAGGTTTGTTGCTGCACAGTCGAATTACAGTGTCCACATTTCAGCAAGAAGCCCCCTTCAAGATCTACTACTTGATTGGATGGGGTAAGTTAGGCTTACTAACCTTGTGTTGTCAAAATAGTTTAATATTTGAACTTTAAAAAGTTTGGTTGTTGTTGTTCCTGTTGCTATTTGAATTTTGTTGAAAAAATAACGAAATTCTGGAATCTCGACGTTTAACATGAAATGAGTTTTATATCATTAAATGTAATGAAGTTCGATGTAAGAATTGGTTTTTGTTGTTGTTGTTGCTCTTTAAATGTTTGTTGGGAGAAAAATAAATTCTGGAGCCTCCACATTTAACGGGAAATGAGTGTTATATTATGTTCATGTATTAAAGTTCGGTGAAAGAATTGGTTGGATTTGAGAAGAGTAAGAAACAACCACTTTTCGATTAGAAGATTACAGCACTAAGTGGTTAGAAAATTATTGGAGGGAGCGGCCGGATTTGGAAGCTACAGTAACCCTTGTGATTATGAGCATTATAATCCTAATTATGGAAAACAGGTGTGCTAGGTTGGACAAAAAAGGGACCTGTTGGCGTAAATTTGAGAAAGATATATAAAAGAGAAGAATCAAGCGAAATAAAAAATGTCCGGGAAGTGTAAGAGAGACTGAATAAACCGAGAAAGAGGTGAAGGAAGAACTACTATGCTGCCAATAAGGAATAAAACCTAGCTCTAAATCTATGTGTTGTTGATTACTGCAATAAACAGCACTTTGTTATGTATATTAGTATGAGTCGGTTCCTCATGGAAGTAAGCACAAACTTGATAAAGTTGGAGGGAAATGATGAAGATCGCTCTATTTTAACAAAGTCGACCTGTAATAAAGTGGTGTCAGAAGCTATTTACAACAAAGTTGGTGCAGTCGATAGAATACGAATATCCCAATATATTTACGTTACATTTACGCCTTCACATTCTTTTCCACCAGTAACAATAATTTTGGCCAAGTTTAATTATTTCCAAATTCCTCTACCACGGCGTCATTATGGTATTTATTCAAACTCTCATTTTCTAACTGCCATTTGATTAAGTACTTTTTCACACATCCCATTTGTCTGTAGTCTATAAGGACTAGTGTGTTTTATTTTTAGGTTTGGCACTTTCCATAATTCTTGCATTATTTTCGATTGAAAATTTCTTCCTAGATCTGTTCAGGAAATCCAACCCGTGATAATATCACTATCAGCTTTCGCGCTTCCATAGAATCTTGAACTACTGCTTATATGTATCTAGTGGTAGAATCACCCACTGTCAGAATATATTTATTCCTTTGTTCCGTTACTGGAAGTGGTCTGATAGTATCGGAACTAATGACTGCAATATTATGTACTGTTTATATCGCCCCCCCCCCAGTGGCACAGCGGCATGTCTGGGGACTTACAACGCTAGAAACCGGGTTTCGATACCCGTGGTGGGCACAGCACAGATAGCTCATTGTGTAGCTTTGTGCATAACTTCAAACAAACAAACTGTTTGTATCTGATGTAGGAGGATTGAACAATACATGACTTGAGCTATGGCTACGACTATATGTACTGTTTGTATCTGATGTAGAAGAATTAAAGAATACACAACTTCAGCTATGACTATGACTATATGTACTGTTTGTATATGATGTAGAAGGATTGAACAATACATGACGTGAGCTATGGCTACGACTATATGTACTGTTTGTATCTGATGTAGGAGGATTGAACAATACGTGCTTTCAGCTTTGATTATGACTGTATGTACTGTTTGTATTTGATATAGGAGGATTAAAAAATACGTGTTTTCAGCTTTGATTATGATCGTATGTACTGTTTGTATTTGATGTAGGAGGATTAAAAAATACGTGTTTTCAGCTTTGATTATGATTGTATGTACTGTTTGTATTTGATATAGTAGGATTAAAAAATACGTGTTTTCAGCTTTGATTATGACTGTATGTACTTTTTATATCTGATACACGAGAATGGAACGATTTATGGCTTGTGCTTGATTACTTTACTATTAGTACCGTACCTACAAAGAAGGACTGAACGTCTCATGAATTGAATACTGTTTGTACCAGATGTATAGATTGAATGATACATTACCTAAGTTGTGGTTCTTTAACAGTTTGTATCTGATGTAGGTGTATTGAACAATACAAGACTTTTGCTGTGACTGTTGTATGGGTTATTTCAAGAATGATAATTTATTATCAGATTAAACTATGCACTTACAGCGAAACTATAAATCCACCCAGCCATCATTATAGCTAATTAAATATATTTTTCTTACTTTTCTACTTATAAAGATCAAAATGCATTGTTTCATTAATTCAATACTCTCACTGTCAGCGATATTCTTGGCCGTAATTCCAATAATACCTCACAAGGTTCCCCTAGCTCAGGAGATCTAGGTTATTCCTAAATATACATTTTAAGCTAACAATGCAAAACCATCTTTATAACAAGATAATAATAAACAATAAATCATAATGACATTCTACATACCGTGTAATAGAACCGATACTGTTAATAAAGTAGCAATAACTACAAAATATAGTATATACCTTACTTAAATGGCACACAAACACTAGTTATTGGCTTGAACTATTGACACAGAATTACGTTTTTTAGGAGTAATATTGCTCTCCACTTCTCTCTAGTGTATTTTGACCAAAGCAAACTCATTAAGCCACTCCTCCTGTGTATAATAGAGGTAAGTCACATTTGTGACAATTTATGAGACACATGTTACAGTTTAAACCCTGTATAGTTAGTACCAATAATTTTCCAATGGTACAACCAAACACTAATGTTTATGAATATACAAAATAGAAAACTTTAATACAGCTTGAACTTACCACGATAATATGAAAATGTTAAATGTAATTATAAGAAAACAACATACTAAACACATGTGAAGAAGGCTAAATCTTCTGTAAAAGTCAAAAAGGAAACACGATAAGAAGAATGTACTACAGTAAGGAAAGATACAAGATGTGTTAATATGACAAAGAAGGTATTCTTAAAAACTAATGTAACTAAACTAATGACCTAATGTCATACTACGTGCAGAACTGTTATATAATTAATATTAACAATATATAATAATAATAAATTAAACTAACGGGAAGTAAAACTAATGATGGTCAATACACCAAAGTTCATTGTTACCCTAAGCAATATCCCGTCAAATTTAAGAGCAGACGTGAAAGTTTTTAAATGGTTGTGATACTCTGTAAAACTTCTAAACCCATCATAATCTGTATCACGAACATTGTTGAATTTCTCACAGAACTGAACAAATTTTGTGTTTAATTTAATCAATAAGAAACCTCGATTATTCAAAATGAGAACGAGTTTCGGAACTCAATCCACAAAATAATGTAATGGTGAACAACTTATATTGTATCGCAATAAACTGAGAGTAATAAACATTGTAGCGTAACCTACGTGGAATGTTCGTATTTGGGGAAGAGAAATTTATAACTTCAGAGTTAAAAGTGTTCCTTTTTTATTGAAAACTTTAAACTTGAGCTGTGATTCTTGTCCTATTTGTAACCAATATAAGAGAACAGGACGATATATGGACTTGAGCTGTGATTTTTGTAATGTCTGTAACCGATGTAAGAGAACTGGACGATATATGGACTTGAGCTGTGATTTTTGTAATGTCTGTAACCGATGTAAGAGGACTGGACGATATATGGACTTGAGCTGTGATTTTTGTAATGTCTGTAACCGATGTAAGAGAACAGGACGATATATGACTTAAACTGTTTCTTGTACCGGTTATATCTGATTCATGAGGAGGATTGACAGATATCTATGATCTGAGTCGTGATTCTTGTACAATTATGGTGAAACAATACACTATTCCTGTTCTACAGAAGAGAAGTCTTTGGAAACATAAACTATAAATACTTCTTTCTAAGTATGATGAATAGAATCTTAGTAAATCACAAAATCCTTTCCAGTTTTAGTGGGTTTTTTCTAACTATAAACGACAGTTATATGAATGGGAAATTATTTTTAATCAACTCAGTTATTTGTTGTATCTTTTCATTGATATTGATTCAGTAATACAAAATGTTTTTTGTTGTTATAATGTTGAGTATATGATTGATTATTCTATTTACGATTTATGAGTAAATTGGTATTCTCAGGTGTATTGATAACCTTCAGGTAAAAATAGTAACTGCAGAAGCTAACAGAATGGCAAGAAACGTATTGCGAAGGATGAGAAATCTGTCTTTATTTATATATATGCAAACAAACATATAATGGCCCGGCACTCGACTCGCAATCTGAGGGTTGCGGGTTCGAATCCCCGTCACACCAAACATACTCACCC